CACCCAGAAGTAATATTCATTGCATATAGATATCAAAGTTGCAAACCATTATCTTATAGTCTTATTTTTGTATAATGAAGATAAGATTTACGTGATTAGGTAATTGTTCATAAAATGTATTCAGACCAAAAATAATATTATTATTATGATACTATTGGTGATAGTGACTGGACATTTGAAATAATTTTATTAGGTCTACATAAATAAAAAAATGCTACTACTATTATAATTAGTGCACTGTTCACAATTTGTATTTTGGTGCCTGTTACTCCATGCTTATATATAAAAATGTTTTTTGAAAATGCTGTCCATCATTCCCTTGGCTGTTATCACTGATTTTTCATCACCGGAATGATTCACATAATAAATAACCTATCTAATCTGTACTGAATTAATGATATTATAAAAAAAATCTTGGGCGAAAATATATTGTTTTTGGCCTCAACGTTTTTCGCCTGAAAACACAAGGGGATAAGACGCAGGTTATTTGGATCAGATGGTTTCATTTGTTTAGAATTGACTGTGTGTCTAGAAACCTAATAACGTTGTTTCTAGTGAATCAAAAACATGTTCTCTTCCAATAAAGGATTTTGATATCCAACATTTTTAACAATTCCTTATCTCCCGTATAAATAGTCCTCTACTCTTCAAAATTTGACAAAGGTATGAGCCCAGAATCGACCTTCCGCATCTTTGATTGTAGCAATGTTCACGCCGGAACTGACTTTTAGCTTCCTATTTTAACTGATCTGATGCTTTTTTGGTCACATTTTGTATATGCCAGTCAGATATTGACAAGTAAGTGAACAGGCCAGGACATAGTCAACATGGGACTCGAGAGTCACAAGTATCAGCTGAAGTATGCCCTGAAGATAGAGTCACCATACAGTATTAATGAACGAAATTCACATTACAATCGCACCGGATACGATATACTGCATAGTGAAAATAACATACCATTAAAGCATTGTTGATTTTTTTTTTTACGAATGTCAGATAAGGACATTTACAATTCCATGAAAACAAAATAAACTGTGACGACTGACAACTAAACAATCCACAAGAACAAACTACACAACATAGTCAAATCAGTAAGATGAAGATATACGGACCTCATGGTATAGAAGAACATTTAAATACAAATTAATTAACAGTGAATACCGGTATCATATTTGCCAAAAAATACATTCAGCCACCATTATTGCAAAATCAACCAGTTGAGAACTTTAAATTCTATTTATTAGGATTCCTGCATGAAGTTACAGGGATAGGAAAAATGCCTAACGATGGCAAGGAAAAGCGATGCTTTTTTGTTCAGGTTATATAATAAATTCTCTTACTAATATTTCATGCGCAATTTTGTGAGTGTACATTTATGTAGTAAAATATATACACTCATCAAAATCATGCAAAAACAGTGCACATGCAAAGTAAAGTGACTATCCAAAGTGACTTGGTTTGTTAAAAATGAGTCAAAATGCTATGACACTGTACCTAATTATTGGTGGGAATAAAAAGCCAGTTAGTTACAAAGATCTATAGAGTTGTGAACAAATATTTTGGTGAATATCACTGACCACTAAAGACGCCCATCACAAAGTGTCCTGTTTTTGAAATAAAATCACTATACGCAGTTTATCCATCTGGTGTGGGTGACTCCTTGGACACAATATGGCGTCCCCTAGCACTATGCTAGGGAAGTAGTATTGTCAACACAGCTAATTTCAGCTTATTCAATAATCACATAACAAGCAAACATGCATACATCAAGCCAAACCTGTGTTTAGTGACTCAAGAAACCTAAAAATATTTTCTATCATAGACTTGTGATCTATTTATTTAATTAGTTCCAGTTTGGATGTCTAGATACAAGGACTTACATTTTGATCTTAGTGCATCTATGTTTGCATCTCTATCTGTATCACAGGCATGCCTTGACTGATTACATTCAAACTTTACACACACATCATGCATCTTCAGATATATGCGCATGTCCATTCGTTGCGTCATTCAATTCAAGTTGGCCAAATGGTAGCCATTTATGTGATAAAAGTTCACCAAGCATTTCTGCCATTCCAGAACTGGATCTCAGTTGTGTATGGACAAATACAAACATTAGACATTGAGGTATCCTGATGCATATCATTTTGTTTTTCAGATTGGATTTTAAATGGAAAACTGGTGGCCACTTTGTTTTCACTAATGCTTGTCCATTTTCCAACATCCCCTGATCAATCATGTTCAGACTTCAGTAATACATTATACATCATGTTACACATGTATTCATTTGACAATCCAATTCAAGATGACTGGATTGCAGCTTGATTGTTGACAGTTTTTTTTTTCAACATATAACATTCTACCTTGTATACTAACTTATATTCAATTGGACAGACGTGGTGCTATTTAGGGTGCAATTGTCTGAGCTAATGTAATAATATAGACTTGGTTTTCCTTTTAAAAAACACTGATCAACAAAAAAAGGAAGAAGAAATTAAGTACAAGGCCTCGTTTTTTTTAAATTCATTCAAAAGTAAATCAGAAAAATATGCAGTTTCTACAAAGTCACTGATCTTTTATAACCTGTTTTTTTTATATTTTTACTTTATTAATGAGAAAAAAATACTATCACAAATATATACCATAAAGGTTCAAATTTGTGGAAAATGAGTACATTCAGTTTTCAATGATTTGTATGTAATTGTTCCAGCTTCCCGTTTGATTCAATGCATGTATATTCTCAAGGAGTTGCTTACATTCTGAATATGTAACTGCGAACTGCAGCAATTTTGAACAAGGGCAAAATCAGAACTATTTAATAAATTCACACAATTACATAGTGATATATCACACATAAGTCCCAAGATAGATCTCAAAGTACAAATTCAAGACGTACAATACCCCCGACACCCATAGATAAGTTGCCCAAGTACATAAAAGTTTCTTTTGTAATGCAAAGCCTTTTATAATTTTTAAT